CTGGTATTTTTGGCCACTGTGTGACACAGAGTGTTGGACTGGATGGGCCACTGGCCTGACCCAACATTGGCTTCTCTGATGTCCTTATGAGGCCTTCCCCTGATGTTGCCTCCTGGCTCTGGTATTCAGAGGCTTAGTGCCCTCTGAACGTGGAGGTTCCTCTCCATCACCCATAGCTAGTAGCCATTGATAGACTTATCCTCCATGAAAATATATAATCCCCTTTTCAAACAGTTTATTCCTGTGACCATCACTACCTCCTCTGGCAATGAATGCCACTTTTTAATCACTCAGTGTAAAGCAGGGGTCATTTCGTAGAAAAAGAGGTGCAGGTAGCATAACTCATTTACATATGCCACACCCCCTGACATCACCGGACGTGTGTCAGAAGGCAACACCCACCGCTCAGGTTCCACTAGACTGTTTTGGATTGCTAGTTATTGGGGGAACGTGCAGATCTGTCCTCGCAGAGGAGGGAGAGCTTTTACCTGAATAAATCTTGGTCTTAAAGGTGCCACTGGACTGTTTTGGGCCGGGGGGGCTCTGCAGCTTACCTGGCTGCTTCTTCCTCTGACTGAAGGCTGCTGGGAACAGGGGGTGGGGCTTGTTGCATGTGCCCACCCCCTGGGCTCTTTACTGCCGGAGCTCCGCTCCTGTGCGCTCCTTCAGGAAATGACCCCTGGTTTAAAGTAATATTTCCTTTTGTCCATCCTGAATCTCCTGCCCATCAGCTGCAGGGCTCTCTCTGTATGTCTGTTCATGAGGTATGTCTTCTCCTACTGCACTGGGTGCCCAGCATTGCCTGCTTAACTCCAGTTCTCCCATACAGTTCCGTGGTAAAAATGTATGAGTGGCTGGGCGCGTCTGACCAGAGGTGACGTGCGTAAAGCACATCATAAAGTTCCAGGGCAAATGGGATCTGCGTTCCTTCATAGCCCCCGAGAAATGCACGCACGAAGGTGGTTGTTCATGTACACACACTGCGGGAGAGGCCCAGGGTGTTTTTGCTTGTACTCGAGGGTTATGATCTTGTGATTGTGGTGCTGGTTTCCTCCCAGCAGCTGTTTCCTGAGGGTTCGATGCGGCTTAAAGTGAGTCCTTGCAGAATCAGACCAATTAGACAGGTCTGGGTTCCCCTGCGTTTCCAAAATGTGACATGTAACGTCCCAGGGCCTTTTTTGGCTTGGGAAGATGGTGCAAGGGGGAGGCGGGAGCCACTCCTCTCCCCCTCGCTGTGGTCCCCCTCGCTGTGGTCCCAAGCAATGTTCCCTTTAAGCTGTGGAGTCTTGTGAGCAAAAATTCTACTTTGTGAGCTACTGGGCATTAAAGTGGTGAGCGAGCGATTTGGCGGCTGCATCAATGAGTCTGCTCTGGAGCCATCCTTCTTGAGCGAAAGCAAGAATGTGTGAGCCGGAGGCTAAAAAACTGTGAGCTGGCTCACACTAACTCAGCTTAGAGGGAACACTGGTCCCAAGAAAAGTCGGGCCCCTGCAGCTCTTTAAAAGGCAGTTACCTGCAGCCCCTATGTCTGCCTTGGGGACCCTGATTGCGGCCTTGGGATCTCTGGATCGGTTGGAAAGGCAGCGCAGAAGTGTTTGAAATAAATACAGTAAGTGAATAATATTTATTTATTGGATCTGTATCCCGCCCTCCCCTTGACAGGCTCAGGCCAGGTTCCAACAGTAAAAGTGCAATACAGTAAAAACCATTTTAAAACACCAGAGCACCAGAGCACCAGCACTTTATTGTAATTTTGTATTGTTTTATTCTGCTTTTAACTGTTTTATTATGGCTTTGTGCCCTTATTGTTAGCCGCCCTGAGCCCGTTGGGGAGGGCGGGATATAAATCAAAATAATAAATAAATAAATAAAATACATGACATAACAGCACATAAATCATAGGTGCCATAGCACTCTAATAAAAGTCAGATGCTTCAGTTGGCTGTTGTTAATATCAGTTTTTGTTATAAAGATCTTCAAATTTAGGTTCCCAAGGTCCTAAGTCATAAGGTCAAGGTAATGGTAGACAGCCCTATTCTAAGCTTCAGGGGTTCCCAATTTTCTTGAGCCTGCAGGCTCCTTTGGAATTCCGGCACAGGGTGGTGGGCGTGGCCACAAAAATGGCTGCTGCAGGAGGCGGAGCCAGCCATGCGATGGACGCCGCAGCGGACCTTCAGTCACACAGTAGAGAGTCTGGTGTTGTGGCGGTCGATGCTGCCATGGCAACATTCTTTAAAACATCTGCAGAGCCAACCAGAAGCCTTGCTGGGCAAAAGCCTCACCTGGCCCCGCCCACTTTCTAAAAAACACTTGGTAGGTACCAGGCAACGCTCCCTCTAGGCCGCAGAGTCTTGTGAGCAAAAATCCTACTTTGTGAGCTGCTGGCATTAAACCTGTGAGCGAGCGATTTGGCCGCTGCATAAATTAGTCTGCTCTGGAGCCCTCCTTCCTGAGCCGAGACAAAACTGTGTGAGCCGGAGGTTAAAAAACTGTGAGCTGGCTCACACTAACTCCGCTTAGAGGGAACCCTGGTACCAGGGAAGGTGTCTTTGGGGCACCACAGCACCCACCGTCCTTCCTACTCAACTTGGTCTCTCCTCATCCCTGGCCCCCAATGGAAATGATTTCATATTGCAGTGGTGCCTGGTGCATGTGGTTGGCCCCTTTGGTGCTTAGAAAGGCCTGTGCACAGAGGGTGAGTAACGCGTCTTCTCTCATGCCCGGCCCTGCCTCCTTTCTGTAAAGTCTACAAACAGAGGGATGGAAGCTGTTGCCGGTAGTAACCGAGGAACCGGATGTCACTGCCGGAGGTCGCCCTCTGGTGCAGTGCCTCATTTCCCCCAGCTGTGACAGATGGACGGGGCTTTCGACTGGGCCCCTGGATCCTGGAGGTTGGCAACTAGGCAAGTGTGGTGTGTTTGCATGCGTACAGGATCCCCGTCGGTGATTCCTTCCCTAGCTGTGACCCCCGAAGTCACCCTTCACCGATGCCTCACCTTTCTCCCTGCGTCTTAAATGATGATGTTGGTGCCTGCTACTGTTTTTATGAAAGCCAGCGTGGTGTTGTGGTTAGAGTGCCGGACTAGTATCGGGGAGAACCAGGTTCGAATCTCCACTCATGCTACGGAAGCTGGCCGGGTGACTGTGGGCCAGTCACACTCTCAGCCTGACCTACCTCGCAGGGTCGTTGTGGTGATAGAAAGGAGCAGAGGGGAACGATGTAAGCTGCCCTGGGTCCCCATTGGGGAGAAAGGCGGGGTAGAAATGAAGAACGCAAATAAGCAAACCGCCAGAGCTGCCTGATACATTCTGGTTACCGGACAAGATATTACGGAATTCCTTCAAAAATAAATAAATAGGGGAAGTAAATCAACAGAAGCAGACAAGTTACTCAGAGGTGACGGGCAAGACCTGCTGCGGTTCTTTAACAAAATATATTCTGTATCCCTCTGCTCCCCCTCGCCCCCCTGAAAACCCCACGGCCAGATCTCCGTCAACACACCCACCCACCAACGCTCCCTCTAAGCTGTGGAGTCCTGTGAGCAGAAATTCTACTTTGTGAGCTACCAGCATCGAAGTTGTGAGCAGGAGATTCGGCCGCTGCATCAGTTAGTTTGCTCTGGAGCCCTCCTTTCCTGGGCTGAGACAACAATGTGTGAGCCGGAGGCTGAACACCTGTGAGCCGGCTCACACTAAATCAGCTTAGAGGGAGCCCTGCGCCCCCACCCACACGCACATGTATAACAAATGTGTGTGTTTGTCCACAGCATTTATGCAGATATTCCCTCTAAGCTGTGGAGTCTTGTGAGCAAAAATTCTCCTTTGTGAGCTCCTGGCATTAAAGTTGTGAGCGAGCGATCTGGCTACTGCATTAAGTTAGTCTGCTCTGGAGCCCTCCTTCCTGAGCCAGGACAAAAATGTGTGAGCGGGGAGGCTAAAAAACTCGAAAGCAAGAAATTGCAAGTACATAAATAGGTACCACTTCGGTGGGAAGGTAGCAGCGTTCCGTGCGCCTCGGCGTCTAGTCATGCTGGCCACGTGACCACGGAAACGTCTTCGGACAGCGCCGACTCTTCGGCTTGGAAACGGAGAGGAGCACCGCAACCCTGGAGTCGGACTCGACTGGCTTTTGAGCAAGGGAGACCTTTCCCTTTTTTTAGCTCACACTCGTTCAGCTTAGAGGGAACACTGGATCCGTCCTGTAGATCGAAAGACGTCACAGCTTCTTGGAGGGGGTGGGGGACCGTTCTGGAAGGGAAGGCAGCAGGAAGGATTCATCGCGCGGCTGCCCGAATCCCGACCCTTGCCGCTTTCCCCAGGCTCCGGAGCACGCTTCGCTCCCTCCCTCGGCCGCCTGCCTCCGTGTCCCTCTTTCCCCAGCCCCTCCCCTCCCCTCGTCAGCCCCCCTCCTCCTCCAGGCTGGGCTCGGAGATCTCGGAGAAGCGGTGCTGCTGCCGTGCGCAGCGCAGACCCCGGTGACAGCAGGAGCAAGAAGCCTCCCGCAGCCAGCCGCCCGCAGACGCAGAGGCACGCAGGACCGGGCGGATCTGCTGCACGCCGGGCTCCAGGGGCCGGATCCGAGCCGTCCCCGCGGCGTTGGGTGTCTCTCCGGCGGACCCGATCAGCATGGGATGAGGACCAGGACTGGCGATCCAGGCTGGCGAGCCAAGAATCCGGGGCGTGCGTCAGGCCAACATGCAACAGGGCAAAAGCAAGCAGCCCGCGAGCCAACTGGAGGGTCCGGGCGGCGGCTGGGGGTTCGGCCCCCGCCTCCCCGGCGGCACTGGTGAGCTGCAGACTGATCGCCCGCCGGCTCCTGCCCCCCGAGCGGAGGGGCTGCTCGCTTCCCCCCCGCCCCGCCGCAGATGCCTCCGCTTGCACGAGGGAGTCCGCCTGGTGAACGCTTCTGCCTCGGTTTGACAGCAGCCCGACCACATCCTCAGCGGCGGCGCAGGGATTCCGAGGAGCACGTGAAGGGGGGCGAAGGCATGCCAGCGGCCCGGACCCACCGACGGCTGGTGCTGTGAGGGCAGAGGTTACAGGGGGATCATGGGAGGGAAGCCGGTCAAATGGTGAGCCCTCGACTGGTGATGTCGTCATTTAAAGGTGGTGGTGGTGGTGGGCAGTGTTCCCTCTAAGCTGAGTCAGTGTGAGCCAGCGCACCGTTTTTCAGCCTCCGGCTCGCACATTTTTGTCCTAGCTCAGGAAGGAGGGCTCCGGAGCAAACTGATTTATGCAGAAGCCAAATTGCCTGCTTACAACTTAAATGCTGGTAGCTCACCAAAGTAGGATTGTTGCTCACAAGACTCCGCAGCTTAGAGGGAACATTGGACTGGTGGGCAAGTGTTCCCTCTAAGCTGAGTCAGTGTGAGCCAGCTCACTGTTTTTCAGCCTCTGGCTCACACACTTTTTTGCCTTCGCTCATGAAGGATGGCTCCAGAGCAAACTAATCTATGCAGAAGCCAAATTGCCAGCTTACAACTTAAATGCTGGTAGCTCACCAAGTAGGATTGTTGCCCACAAGACTCCACAGCTTAGAGGGAACATTGGTGGTGGGCAAGTGTTCCCTCTAAGCTGAGTCAGTGTGAGCTAGCTCACCGTTTTTCAGCCTCCGGCTCGCACATTTTTTGCCTTCGCTCAAGAAGGAGGGCTCCAGAGCAAACTGATTTATGCCGTGGCCAAATCGCCTGCTTACAACTTTAATGCCAGGAGCTCACAAGGTACAATTTTTGCTCACAAGACTCCACAGCTTAGAGGGAGCATTGGACTGGTGGGGCAGTGTTCCCTCTAAGCTGAGTCAGTGTGAGCCAGCTCACCGTTTTTCAGCCTCCGGCTCACCCATTTTTTTGCCTTAGCTCATGAAGGATGGCTGCAGAGCAAAGTAATTTATGCCGTAGCCAAATCACCTGCTCGCAACGTTAATGCCAGGAGCTCACAAGGTACAATTTTTGCTCACAGGACTCCATAGCTTAGAGGGAACGGTGGGGGGCTGAGACAGGGAGGGGTGTTTCTGGGAATGCAGTGGGGTGGGGTGGTGGTGGGGAGATGCAGGCTGGGTCGCTGGGAAGAAGGAATCCTGCAGACTGGCTTCCTGCACCGTAAACCCTGCTGGGATCGGTTTCCTTTCCCAGACCTCATTTCCCTGCATCCTTAAAAAAAATAAATCGACAGGTCCAAAACCACGTTCTCCCCCCCCTTCATGGATACGGTGCCAAACCATCCCTCCGTCTTCCGCTGCCAGCTCTAACCACGCGAGGGCCCATTGATGGACCGAGGCAGCCTTTGGTCCCTGGCTTGGTGGTGGCTCACTTCCTTTCGGGGAGCCCCGGCAGCTACCGCTGGTGACTCACCAGGCCACGGGCTGTAAATAGAACCGGACTCGAGGCTGCCCGGAGACAGAACGTGTCTGAAATCCTGGTGCCACTGCAGTTTGAAAGGTGGCTGAGCATGCTCTGGGCTGCCTGAACCCCATGATGAATTGCATGCGGTGGGGGCCAGTGTTTGTGTGTGCGGGGGGAGATCATAGTTTTTTGGGAGTTATTTTTCTGGGCTGGTGTTGCCAGATGCTTGGTGCCTGGGGGGGTCAACAGTGGGAGGGCTTCTAATGTCCCGGCCCCACTGCTGGACCTCTTGATGGCACCTGGTATTTCTGGCCACTGTGTGATACAGAGTGTTGGACTGGATGGGCCTTTGGCCTGATCCAACATTGGCATCTCTTATGTTCTTATGGGCCCCCCGTCCTGTTCAGGGTCACGGTCTGTCTCGCGGCCTCACAGCCGTTGTCTCGTCCTGCCACGGCCACGAGGGGACGGTGCCTTTTTGACCGCCCTGCCTCCCTTGCCCTCGATAGCCGTCTCTCTGATGTGCAGAAAACGTAACAGGTGAACCCGTTCCTGATATGGAAATGAAGTGGTGGGGGAAACGTCGACCCCGTCTGGCTGCTTTGAAAGGCACACCAGCAGTACCACCACCCCCTATAGAGGGTGGTGGCAGTACCCGGCTTTCCGTCTGGTGATGTTTCTGTTTCCTCTTCCCGATTTAGTCACTGCAACGTGTAGGTGTCATTAGCAGCCATATGGAACACCCCCCCCCCCGCCGCCGGCTGATTTCAGATGGAAGGTTTGGGGGTGGTTTTTGGGTAACACCTGTCCTGATACAGTATACCTGACAACGTGGAGGCCTGCTGAAGTCTCTCTCAGCCAGTGCTATTCCTGCCAGGAGTCTGATTCAGTTTTGGGAAGATTCTGGGAAATGTGCTGGAGCGGCATCCCCCCCCCCCCTTTTAAATCTCCTCTGCTTTCTTCACGTCCCCGTTTTTTCTGTTCCTTTTGTTTGTTCCATCTTTTGTTCCCGTCTCTGGGAAAATGATACATTAACTCTTGCTCACACTTGCAAGGATAAATTCTTTGGGGACGCATTAAATGGGTCAGTGAGTTGTAGATGCCGTTTGCTGTTGTCTGGGCGATGCGTGCGGGAAGAATTTCCGAGAGGGAGGGAGGTGGGGCGGGGAGAAGTCTGAGGGGCTGGACCAGGGGCCACATCTGAAACGCCCGTCTTTTTAAAAAAAAAAAAAAAAAAAAGGAGGAGCCCGAATTCAAGAATGTAAAGTCCAGGTCATGGGTCGGGATCCCTGTCCTTATGGGAATCCGGGATTGGTAAAAAATAGTCTTATTTGACTTTTGACTGGTGACTCACGCCGCCCCCACAACTCCGTAGCTCCAGAAGCAAGGAGCAAGACAGAATTGGGAGAAACGTGAGGTGCCTTAATTGGCGAATGGCCGCCCCTAATAAGATTCCCCACCACAAGACGCTTTTGCCTCCGAGCTGCTACAGCGTAGAATAAGCTGCTAGACTCTCGGATGTGGGCTAAGCCCCCTGAGCTTTTCGATATATGGCGGGGGCGGGGAAGCATAAGAGGAGTTTCCTCTGCTCACTTTGTACGCCTAAGGAGCAGTGTTCCCTCTAAGCTGAGTTAGTGTGAGCTAGCTCACAGTTTTTTAGCCACCGGCTCACACATTTTTGTCTTAGCTCAGGGAGGAGGGCTCCTGAAGAAACTAATCTGTGCAGTAGCCAAATTGCTTGCTCACGACTTTAATGCCAGTAGCTCATAAGGTAGAATTTTTGCTCACAAGGCTCCACAGCTTAGAGGGAACATTGCTAAGGAGGTTTTAAATGTATTATAAATGTTGCGTTTTATCTGTTTTAATCTTTTATGTAAGCCACCCTGAGCCTGCTCCAGCGGGCGGGCGGGGGTATAAATCTAAACAAACAAACAAATAAATAAATAAATTGATAGCGAAGAAGAAGAAGAAGAAGAAGAAGAAGAGATTTGATCTATACCCCGCCCTTCACTACCCAAAGGTGTCTCAGAGCAGCTTACAAACTCCTTTCCCTTCCCCTCCCCACAACAGACACCCTGGGAGGTAGACGGGGCTGAGAGAGCTCTGACAGAAACTGCTCTTTTTCAAGAACAGCTCTTATCAGAACTATGGCTTGCCCAAGGTCATCCAGCAGGTGCAAGCGGAGGAGTGGGGGATCAAACCCGGTTCTCCCAGATTATAGTCCGCCCACTTAACCACTACACCAAACTGGCTCTCTAAGATGAGACAGCCCTACCAGAGGGGCAAGGTGAAGTAGCCACTGCAGACCACGGAGACGGGACAAGATTGGCAGCGGCAAAATGGGAGACATAAAGGTCTGGCCCAGGGGCATCCTTCGGTGGGGAGTTTTCCCGTGCTGTCAGGCAGGTCCCGTGACCAGTGTTCCCTCTAAGCTGAGTTAGTGTGAGCTAGCTCACAGTTTTTTTTAGCCTCCAGCTCACAGATTTTTGTCTCCGCTCAGGAAGGATGGCTCCAGAGCAAACTAACTGATGCAGCGGCCAAATCGCTCGCTCACAACTTTAATGCCACTAACTCACAAAGTAGAATTTCTGCTCACAAGACTCCACCGCTTAGAGGGAGCATTGGTCCCGCCCATTTTAGAAGGAATTTGCCGGTGGACCGTTCCCTGTTATTAGTTAAGGGAAGGCAATGCTTCTGGGCTTTCCACTCATGTGCACCTCTGCTGAGCTCTGAATCCAGCAAAGCGTGCGAAACTTATTTATTTCACGTACCAAGATGGGAGTGGCTCCTCCACTGCCCGTTTGTGCTGGAAAAGGACAGTCGCCTCCTCTTCTCTCCTCAGCCTAACATCGCCCAGCCCCGTAAACAGCGCCAAGAGCGAGTCCAGCGCCACCCCTTCGGAGGAAAAGGCGGGATTCGACATCGTTCGTGAAGAAGAAGCCGAGACTAGAACAGGTAAGGGGGAGGGCTAGCCAACCGGCAGAGGGTCCTCCTCACGAAGGTTGCCAGCTCTGGGTTGGGAAGTACCTGGAGATGTGGAGGGAGGAGCCTGGGGAGGGGCCGGATTGGTGGGGGGGAGGGGCCTCAGCAGGGTATAATGCCACAGAGTCCACCTGGCCCGTAGCTACGGTGGGGCCCCTCGGGGCCCAGCCCCGCCAAGCATCAGCCAGGCCCCACAAAGCTTTGCTGCTAGAAATCGCTTATTTCTGGCCACTTCCTGATTTGTACAGTTGTGTACCGATAAGAGACCTAATAGCTGCCCCAGCAGGAAAAAATGCCCACAAGCAGTGTTCCCTCTAAGCTGAGTTAGTGTGAGCTAGCTCACCGTTTTTTAGCCTCCGGCTCACCCATTTTTGTCTTATCTCAGGAAGGACGGCTCCAGAGGAAACTGCTTTATGCATCAGCCAAATCGCTCGCTCACCACTTTAATGCCAGTAAGCTCACAAAGTAGAGAGTCTTGCTCACAAGACTCCGCCGCTCAGAGGGAGCATTGCCCACAAGCCAAAAAAAATCCTGGCTCTGGGCCCAGAGTCCACCCTCCAAAGTGGCCATTTTCTCCAGGCGAACTGATCTGGGTCGTCTGGTAGATCAATTGTAATAGTGAGAGGTCTCCAGGTGCCACCTGGAGCTTGGCAACCCCAGTCCTAATTTGGGGGGATCCCCATCTGGCCCTTGCACCAGCACAGCTTTCTATAACCAGAATTTCCTCTGGCGCCTCAGGTGAGAGCAGTTGTCCTGCCTTGCCCCTATAAAGATCATAGAATCATAGAGTTGGGGCCTCCAAGGTCATCTAGCCCAACCCCCTGCACAGTGCAGGAAATTCACAAACACCCAGAAGAGGACCACCCCCCCCCCCCCACACACACACACCAGGATCTCCTGGAGAAAAATTGCTTCCTGACCCCAAATCGGCGATCAACATTTCCCTGGGTGTGTAAGATACCAGGATTGCAAATGGCATGCACCCTGAATGAATCTTAGCCATGATCCTTCCAGGAGGGGTGTTTAGTCCAGCACCTGAGGGGGCTTCTTGGACCCTTTAGTCACTCCTTTTGTGTCATGCAGCAGTGGTCTTCAACTATTCCAGACCTGGGACCAGTGTTCCCTCTAAGCTGAGTTAGTGTGAGCTAGCCCACAGATTTTTAGCCTCCAGCTCACACATTTTTGTCTTAGCTCAGGAAGGAGGGCTGCAGAGCAAACTAACTTATGCAGTAGCCAGATTGCTCGCTCACAACTTTGATGCCAGTAGCTCAAAATAGAATTTTTGCTCACAAACTCTATGTTTTCCCCTCAGATGGCTGTGGCCCCGCCCCCAGCGTGCCTGGCGTCATCACGTCACATCTGGCTGACGTGCATGCGGTGCGCGCGCTCGGGACGCCGTCCGGGAGCCCCCCGCCACGAAGAGAAACGGACTTGGGAACCCTAGCACAGTGTCATGTGAATGCTCCCCAAAAAGACTACAGGCAGGGCCGGGGATCATTTCGTAGAAAAAGAGGTGCAGGAGCTCATTAGCATAACTCATTAGGATAACTTATTTGCGTATGCCACACCCCCTGACATCACCGGAAGTGTGTCAGACGGCAACACCCACTGCAGCTAACCTGGCTGCTTCTTGCTCCTCATGGCCTGGGGCTGCTGGGAGCAGGGGGCGGGGCTTGTTGCATGTGCCCGCCCCCTGGGCTCTTTACTGCCGGAGCTCCGCTCCTGTGCGCTCCTGCAGGAAATGACCCCTGGGCAGGGCTATTTTGGGGCAGGAACGCAAAGGAACGGAGTTCCGGCTGGCTGCAGAGTTGGCCATGGCCACTACAGCCAAAACCTCTGCGTGCGTGGCTACAAAGGGAAAGCCTTGAGAGTGACCCCCCAGCAACTCCAAGGCGGGCGGGCCGAGGGGGGCACTGGAAGGATCAGGGAGGCATTTACATACCTCCCCGTGCATTCCCCAGCCTGTCCAAGGGCTGGTTTGCCTGGGCTCCCTGGAGCCGTGGGGCGCCCAGGCAAGCCAAGGGGAGGCACAGGGTGTGGCCTAATATGCTAATGAGCTGTGCGGTCAGGGATGTGGCCTAATATGCTAACGAGTTTCTGTTGTTGGGTGTGGCCTGTTATGCTAATGAGTTCCTGCTGGGCTTTTTCTACAAAAAAGCCCTGAGTACAGGTATCCTGTGATCTGCACAGGGAAACTCCATGTTGGGCACCAGCCTATGTTGCCAAGTGGAATGTTGTTTTCTTGATCAAATTATGGCTGTGGGAGGGTTTGGCCCTGCAGTGCACTTGAGTTTGATGCTTCTACTGAAACTAGTCCCTGATCTCTAGTCAAGAAGATATGAAGACAGAACTCTGATCTTGCATTCTGGCCTTTTCAGTCACGGCCAGGTCAAAACGGTTAAGACAGCCACTTCGTGCGTTCCATTTTTGAAGAGTAAACCAAAGATGCTTCAAGTCAGGAAGCCACACGTGACTTTAGCTACCTGCTGCAATAGGCGAACCCAGGTTTGCATCTGCACAGTGTGTGAAATGGCCCTTATCGTCGGCCCCCTCAAATCAATGTGAAATCATTCTTGATGCTTTCACACCCGCGAGACCTCGAGTCTGGTCTTTAGCTTTCCTGTGGCGGCAAGTCAGTTGACCTCCATGGGCTAGCGGGTGCAGTTGGTTCAAAAATGTCTTTATGTCCCAAAATAACAACATTTGCAAAGGACACGGCCCAGATTTCAAGCTTTCTGACATGTGGCTTGTAGAAAAACTCCTAAAAGTCTGAATTGGACCTCTGCATCCAGGATTCCTCAAATAAGGGACTGCAGAATTGCAAGTTCTCTGTATCACATGTCAGTGAGTTGGGTTTAGGGTTTAAATGATGGATGAGTTTAAAACCCATGGCTGGAGTGAGCGGGACACAGCCATAGCCGTCTCTTATTTGTGATGGGAAAAGGTCCCAGGGAAGCCCCTTTTTATTATTCACAGTGCAGGGTAGGGTGCTTTGTCCTTAAACCAAGCAAAAGAAGGGAGGGGGAACCCCTCAAAACAAAAGCCTGAAATCTCCAGTCTGAGTGAGTCTGAATTTATAATGCACAGGAGCTGGAACAGAGCCTGGGAAAATGTGGTTTCTGGGACTGATTTTTTTTTTTAATGGTTCTGCTCAGTTATTTAGCATCATCGCACCGTCTGCGTTAGATGGATGGAGAGGTTGTTTCAGTAGAAAAGCACAGGAGTCCAGGAGCACCTTAAAGACTAAGAAAATGTGTGGCAGGATATGAGCTTTCCTGTTCACTTGTTTTATGTATTTATTTATTTAGACTTACACACACACGCCTCCCTGCCAAGGTCGGCTCAGGGCGGCTTACAACAGAATAAAACACACACATAAATTTAAATCATCCTAAAAACAGTTAGACAGTGTCATAGATGCAACGAGCATGAAATTGAGCAAACTTCAGAGGACGGCGGAAAACAGGAGGGCCTGGCGAGATCTTGTCCATGGGGTCGCGAAGAGTCGGACTCGACTGTGCGACTGAACAACAACAAAAACAGATAAAACATTTCAGCATTTGAAACCTTTCTAAGTGCTAGCATTTCATAAGATTAATAAATTATTAAATGATGGCGGCTCCTTCCGTTGTAGTGGTCAGCCCATTGAGCTAATCTTGTGCAGCCGGCACAGGCTGTTAGGGCTTCAGGGGACACGGGTCTCTATCGGGGCGGCTCCTAATTAAAGGCCTGGCAGAAGAGCTCCGTCTTGCAGGCCCTGCGGAACTGCGTGAGGTCCCGCAGGGCCCTTCTTCAGATACAGCTAGAATCCATCTGTCCTTATATCTTGGAGAGTGGAGTGATGTAGGACAGATGGACTCCCATTCTAGCTGTATCCAAAGAAGTGAGCCGTGACTCACGCAAGCCCCTCCCCTGCCACAGGTTTTGTGAGTCTTCCAGGTGCTCCTGGACTCCTGCTCTTTTTTACTGCTACAGACAGACTAACACGGCTGTCCGTCTTGATCTGTCTCCATGGAGAGGCTGGTTGGTTGTTGCATTTCTGGCCCACGTTTTCTTCCATCCTGGAAGTCGGGGTGAACTGCAGGCTTGGAGGAGGAGAAGAAGAAGAAGAGATTGGATTTATACCCCATGGCCCTTCACTCGGAGTCTCAGAGCGGCTTACAAACTCCTTCCCCTTCCCCTCCCCACAACAGGCACCCTGTGAGGTGGGTGGGGCTGAGAGAGCTCTGACAGGAAAGGCTCTTTTTCAAGGACAGCTGTGCCAGAGCTTGCGACTGACCCAAGGTCACATCAGCAGGTGCAAGTGGAGGAGTGGGGGAATCAAACACGGTTCTCCCAAATTAGAGTCTGCACACTGAACCACTGATCCCCAGGAAGTTTTGTATCCAGGCAGGCACTGACCCGATCCGAGTGGCTTTGCTTCTGCAAGGCCCCTGTGTCAGGTACATTCTTTTTTTAAAAAAACCTCGTAATTAGGATATCACAATAAGTATACTTATAATTCATATAACAAGTTATATCCTTTTTTTCTTCGACATACCCCCCCTTCTGACTTCCCACAGTGCTCAAACTTCCCATCCCCTCTTAGGTCAGCCCCTTTCCCAATTCTTTAATATTATACATTTATTACAGGTACCGTATCTCTTTATTTATAGATCTATATACGTTTAAACTTATTCTAAATAGTCTTCGGTCTTAATAATTGTCAAAGCAAAATAAATTGTTTTTAACATCCCAATATTTCTCCATATAGTCTTTGAAATCCTTCCAATCTGCAAAAAAGTCTTCTGCTTCTTGATTTTTAAGGTTTCTTGTCATTTTGTCCATTTCAACCATAAAAAGTAACTTCTTTAGCCACTCCCAAATATCAGGCTTTTTTCTTGCTTCCAATATTGAGAGTACGTCATTCTAGCAGTTGTAATCATATACCACATTAAAGTTCGCTTTGCAATATTAACTTCTTCCATTCTAAGTCCCGAAAGAAACACTTCCGGTTCCTTCTTAATTTTACATTTCATAATTTTTTCCATCTCTGAATGGACCTCGGCCCAGAAACTTTTTGCTTTTTCACATGTCCACCACATATGGTAAAAAGAACCTTCTATTTTCTTATATTTCCAACATTTGTTTGATAGATTACTGCTTATATTTGCTATCTTTTTTGGTGTCATATACCATCTATACATCATCTTATAGCAGTTCTCCCTTAAATTATTACATGTTGAAATTTTCATTGCATTTTTCCATAAAAATTCCCAGGATGACATGTATATTTCATTATTCATATTAACTGCCCATTTTACCATCTGCTCTTTCACTGTTTCATCTTCAGTATACCATTTTAACAATATCTCATACATCTTAGAAATCATCTTTTTACCTCCTTCCACCCACAAATTCTCAATTTCATTATCTTTTGCCCTGAAACCAAACTCCTTTTTATCTACTTTAAACAGATCATAAACCTGTCTATATTGCAACCAGCCATACTTATAGTCCATTTCTTCTTCTGATTTCATATCGAACGACTTTCCAGCAGGTTTCAAAATGTCTCTATATTGTAGCCAGTCTGCTCTTGTGTCAGGTGCATTCTGATAGGGAGGTAACAGCAAGCGAGAGGCTGTCCAGACACAGGGGTCAGAGTGGCACAAGTGGCACAAGTAAGCCTTTGTGTCTGTGACACAGGAGCGTCTTGCAGACGTGCTTGGGCGACCGGGAATGCCGTACCTTTTGACATGGCCCTTTCCTCTTGAGTGGGATCGGTCCCTGTGTCATCGGGCACAGCCCTCACCAGGAGAGGTTTTGCTTGCTTTTTTTTTTTTGGTATAAGATTTTTTTATTTTTTCTACAACACAGACATGACACAAACATATAACAAACACAAACATAAAATATACCTTGTCCTGTCTTAGCCAGTTTGGTGTAGTGGTTAAGTGCGCGGATTCTAATCTGGGAGAACCGGGTTTGATTCCCCACTCCTCCACTTGCACCTGGCTGGATGACTTTGGGCAAGCCGTAGCTCTGATAAGAGCTGTTCTTGAAAAAGAGCCGTTTCTGTCACAGCTCTCTCAGCCCCACCGACCTCACAGGGTGTCTGTTGTGGGAGGGGGAAGGGAAAGGAGTTTGTAAGCCGCTCTGAGACACCTTTGGGTAGTGAAGGGTGGGGTATGTATCCAATCTCTTCCTCTTCTTCTTCTCTATTCTGGGAGAACCGGGTTTGATTCCCCACTCCTCCACTTGCACCTGACTGGATGACTTTGGGCAAGCCGTAGCTCTGATAAAAGCTGTTCTTGAAAAAGAGCACTTTCTGCCAGAGCTCTCTCAGCCCCACCTACCTCACAGGGTGTCTGTTGTGGGGAGGGGAAGGGAAAGGAGATTGTAAGCCGCTCTGAGACACCTTTGGGTATTCTTCTTCTTCTTCTTCTTCTTCTTCTTCTTCTTCTTCTTCTTCTTCTTCTTCTTCTTCTTCTTCTTCTTCTTCTTCTTCTTCTTCTTCTTCGTATGAATATAGTTCTCATGCCATTTATAAAATCTTCGCCATGTGTTTTCAAATGACTCTTCAGTATGATCCTTCAGAGTTAGGTTAATTTGTCCATCTCTGCTGCTGCTAGTATTTTGTTAATGAATTCTTCTTTACTTGGTATTTCTTGGCTCCTCCGGTATTTGGCATACAATATTCTAGCTGATGTGGTTATATACATTAGCAAATAAGAGTCATCGCTTTTAAAATTAAGCTTTCTTGACTCGAGGGTGCCTGTAAGCACCCTCGAGAGTGAGACATGGGGGGTGAGACAGGATATGGTCATGGCTGCCAACTTGGAAGGCTTAAAAAGGGGGGTGGGCAAATTCACAGAGGACAGGGCTATCAGTGGCTACTAGGATATCTGCTCCCTCTAGTACCAGGGGCAGTCTGCACCACTGTGGGGGAGCACAGGGGGGTGGGAGTAGAGATGTAAAATTTCCGGAAATTTTGAAGCTCAGAAGAAACGGAAATTTTCAGAAAAATAGAAAAAAAAATGCTACATTAGCACTTCTTTTTGCTTTTCCAGATTGAAAGTCATTCTGTTACTTTAGAAACATAAAATATGACTATGGACATTTTTACTTGGCATGAAATTGCCACAACTAGCATATTAAAAATATAGTGTATCCAAACAATTATGACAAACAGAATACCCACCCACATGCAAAAACAAAACTGAAACCTTTTTCTTTCCTTGTGACAACAGCACCTCCTAAAGGAAGAAATGCATCCTGTTCTTGCATTGGAGAGTTCAGTTTGTAACCTAGGACTTGCTTGTCCCCAGTGCACAGAAATTAGATCAATCTGATACCATACATATTTTTTAGAAATGATTTGGAAAATATTTGAACACCTTGTCTTAAAATATTTTATTCATTGTGTTAAAATAAAACGTTCCATAATCATTTCCCCCCTTTTCTTTTCTTTTTTCAATTTTTCCAATTTTTCGGGAAAAAACAAAAAAGGCTTCAGGGAAAAAACGGGGGGGGGGGACGTCCCCCCCCCAAAAAAATCTGTTTTTTCCCCGGGCCTTCACATCTCTAGGTGGGAGGATGCTGTGCAGTCATCCTGTTTGCTGGCTTCCTAAAGGCAGCTGGTTGGCCGCTGTGTGAACAGAATGCTGGACTCGATGGGCCTTGTCTGATCCAGCTCGGCTCTTCTGATGTTCTTACGGCCTGCCCTTCCTGCCAGCAGTGGTGGTCTTCTTCACATTCACCCCGTTCCCTGGCATACTTTGAGAGTGCAACAGTAGAAACGAAACAGTAGAAAACGGTGGTGGGTCTTCCCTTTCTTTTCGCGCTTGGTCCTTTCAAGGGAAGCCGTGTCCAGAGCGTCTTCTCCCAACCATGACATTCTTCCTCCTGCAGAAGAGGCGAGCTCTCCCTTCCCCCTGGAGTGGCAGGCGCGCTGTCCTGTGACGAGCTTGGAGACTTCATGGGAGGAGCAACTGCTGGAGCAGCAAGACCACTTGGAAAAGGAGATGGAAGAAGCGAAGAAGATGATTTCGGGCCTGCAGGTAGGAAGGAGCCTTTGCCCCCATTGTGCGTTCAACAATGACTTGTTAATTAGCCGGCCTTGTGAATGAAGTGGGGGTATGAGATTTGGAAAAGGAAGGTTTCATCCAGTGTTCCCTCTAAGCTGAGTTAGTGCGAGCTAGCTCACAGTTTTTTAGCCTCCAGCTCACACATTTTTGTCTTCGCTCAGGAAGGATGGCTCCAGAGCAAGCTAATTTATGTAGTAGCCACATTGCTTGCTTTCATGCCGGTAGCTCACAAAGTAGAATTTTTGCTCACAATACTCCACACCTTAGAGGATCATTGGTTTCATCCAGTTCTATCACAGGCGGTTTTAGCACAGTTTTGCAAAAGTGACTTGTAATCCAGTCCTGAGGCAGGTGATTCCAGAAACAGCAGGGCACGGGGCCATTTTGGGGGTGTGTGTGTGCAGAGCAGGACCTTTGGGCCGAAGCCCCCTTGTGTGTGTTTGTCGTGTGTGTTAAGCACTGTCAGGTCACTTCCAGCTTATGGTGACCCTATGCAGAAGAAGAAGAAGAGGAGGAGGAGGACGAGGAGACTGATTTAAAGTATCTGCACAGCCAATCAAAAGTCTTCCTGGCCAAAAGCCCCACCTGGCCCTGCCCACTTTTTAAACACACTTGGTGGGTGCCAGGGCTGCGGTGGCTCAAGTGGTTAAGATGCTGAGGTGCAGACCCGAGTGCCGCATGACGGAGTGAGCTCCCGTCTCTAGTTCCAGCTCCTGCCAACCTAGCAGTTCAAAAGCAAGAAATTGCAAGTAGATAAATAGGTACCGCTTTGGTGGAAGGTAACAGCGTTCCGTGCGCCCTAGCGTCTAGTCATGCCGGCCACATGACCACGGAAACATCTTCGGACAGCGCTGGCTCTTCGGCTTGGAAACGGAGATGAGCACCGCTTCCCTAGAGTCAGATTTGACTGGCTTTCGAGCAAGGGAAACCTTTACCTTTATCTGGTGGGTGCCAGAAAAGGTGTCGGCGGGACCATGGCACTCATGGGCACCACAGTGGAGACCTCTGTGGTAACCAGCGTTCCCTCTAAGCTGAGTTAGTGTGAGCCAGCTCACAGTTTTTTAGCCTCCGGCTCACACGTTTTTTGTCTTGTCTCAGGAAGGACGGCTCCAGAGCAAACTAATTTTTGCAGCAGCCAAATCACTCGCTTACAAATTTAATGCCAGCAGCTCACAAAGTGGAATTTTTGCTCACAAGACTCCACAGCTTAGAGGGAGCCTTGGACCAGTGATGACTATTCAATATTGAGAAGAAGCGATCTGGATGATTTCTGACCCCCTCATTTTGAACCTGCTGAAGTGTTCCAAATACTCATCAAGGATAGCTGCGTGAACAGTGTGTCGTTCTCACGTTGAAATGGGTGGAAGCCGCTCCGTGCCGTGGACTGCTGCTTGAGCACCCGGTGCGCGCTGCGGGAATGTCGCAGTACTGAAGGAGCCACACTAGGGAAGCACAAAACGACTAGTGGACTGTTTAAAGAACGGCAAAATAGAAACGTTCACTCTGTGCACCGATGTGTGGTAGCCGTAGGGGAGGGATTTCTGCCGGAGCCCATGACGGTTATGTGACTGTATGAACACACGAAGCGGCCTTATCCTGAATCAGACCGTTGGTGTGATTGTCCATCAAAGTCAGAATTGGCTGTGCAAACTGGCAGCAGCTCTCCAGGGTCTCAGGCAGAGGTCTTTCACATCTCCACCTACCCGGTCCTTTTAACTGCAGATGCCGGGGACCGAACCTGGGACTTTCTGCATGCCAAGTGGGTGGTGTCCAGTGTTCCCTCTAAGCTGAGTTGGTGTGAGCTAGCTTGCAGTTTTTTAGCCCCTGGCTCACACATTTTTGTCTTCGCTCAGGAAGGCTGGCTCCAGAGCTAACTAATTAACGCAGGAGCCAAATCGCTCGCTCACAACTTCAATGCCAGTAGCTCACAAAGCAGACTTTTTGCTCACAAGACTCCACAGCTTAGAGGGAGCATTGATGTGGTGTCCCACTCAGGAGGCACAGCCTCTCCCCACGCCACACACAACAGTAGCAAATAGCTATCTGGGGGAAGAACTGTGTCCTCTCAGGTATAAAACAGCCAGTGCTTCATTCCATAGCAGAAACATGAACTTAGATGCCTGGACTGTATAAAATATATGTGCCAAGTGCCGATTGTTCTGCTAGGAGTGGGAAAAGCAGAACATTGGGAGTGATACCTACGCCCGATCAGCAATGGATCAGAATCCTAGGAGGGACATGCATAATCATCCAGGACTGTAAAAGGACCGTGCCGGTTTCGCTTCAAAGTGCTGGTTCTTACCTTTAAAGCCCAATACGCCCAGGGTCCGACATACCTGAGGGACCGCCTCTCCTCATATATACCCCCAAGGGCACTACGGTCGGGGACGCAACATCTACTGGTGACTCCAGGCCCCAAAGAGGCCAGGCTCGCTATCACTAGGGCCAAGGCCTTTTCGGTGGCGGCTCCTACCTGGTGGAATGAGCTCCCGGAAGAGATCAGGGCCCCGCGGGACCTTGCACAGTTCTGCAGGGCCTGTAAGACGGAGCTCTTCCGCCAGGCTTTCGATTAGGAGCCGCCGCCGCCGCCACCACCACCACCACCAACAACAACAACGAGTTGGCAACAGCGGGGTATTGGAATGGCCCGGTGACAAACAGACTGCAGCACTATGGCGGCTGGAGACCACTGAACTGAGATCTGCTTAAATATCCTCCTGATACCATCTACTGGGAGCTGCGGTGGCTCAAGTGGTTAAGACGCTGAACTGCAGGCTGTGGAAGGTCGGTAGTTCAGCAGTTCGAGACCCGAGTGTGCCGCATGGCGGAGTGAGCTCCCGTCTCTAGTTCCAGCTCCTGCCAGCCTAGCAGTTCGAAAGCAAGAAATTGCAAGTAGATAAATAGGGACCACTTTGGTGGGAAGGGAACAGCATTCCGTGCGCCTCGGTGTTTAGTCATGCCAGCCACATGGCCACGGAAACGTCTTCAGACAGTGCTGGCTCTTCGGCTTTGAAATGGAGATGAGCACCGCAACCCTCGAGTCGGATTCGACTGGCTTTCGAGCAAGGGAACCTTTACCTTTACCATCTACTAAATGGAAGACTGTTATATCGGACGTTCTTGGAGCACTTTATTTTGTAAATTTGGTAACCAATCGTTTTATCTTGTTTTTATGTACTGGCATGCGTGCCCTGATGTTAGCCGCCCTGAGCCCGTTCGCGGGGAGGGCGGCCTAGACATCGAATAAATAAATAAGCAAATAAATAGACATTTGGTTTTTACAAAGCCTCACGGCAAGACTTGTCCGGCTACAAAGCCACAATGGCTCCCCTCCGTGACCCACCCTCCTCCTCTGCTCCTGTCCCGTTCTGCTCTCCGGAGCAGTGACTCTGGACTCTCTCAAGAACGAGGGTCTTTCTGTCCTGGGAACTGCGCTGGTTTTGAATGGTAAATATTTATGTAGGAGCGAACAAAGGCCGCATTGTGCTGGCGGCTGGAAGCGGCCTCTGCAGCCATCAGCGAACAGGAGACACACAAGAGACACACAACTGCTGGGTGCCCCGGTAGAATTAGTGCACAGTGTACCCTCGGAGGGCAGCATGACACCCCACCCCACCCCACCCCACACACACTTCTTTTCTTCGTACCCTGGGAGCCCAGAGAGGCAGCTGGTACTGCGACGGGCAGCTGCCTGGCATTGTCGCCCTCTTATCTCCCAGGAGAAGAGGGAAGCCAGCAGCTGATCCCACTGCCCAAGAAACTGGATTTGAATAGTCAATTCCACTCTTCAAAGGCAGGCCGCATCCCCCGGAGATGCAAAACGAGTTGCTGTCGCCCAGTTCCTACTGACTGGGTGTCCTTCAGGGCAAAGTCGGATTAGGCCTTGGCAAATATGTATTCCCGTTGCATTTTGCAAGGTTTTTCCCTTTCCCTGGAACGCCGAAGGCAGCTGAACTACTCGGTCTGTGTTCTTTCAGGACCTCAGACGGACTGTCCTCGCCAGCGGGTAGCAGTTACAGATTTCCAGCCCCGTCACTGGAATCAAAGGCCACTGCTTTCTTGCAGGCCCCGTTTTAAAACCGCCAAGTTCTGAGAGCCTCATATCCGGCAGTGGCCATTCTGATACCCTCAAAACTGACTGCTGTCTGCAGGACACGCACCCGGCCACGGATTGAGCTGTGACGCCGTAGGGTGCGGTCAGACGGCGTGTGCTGGGAGCGGTTTAACTTGCTCCGGCCCTGATGCGGTCTTTTTTAACCTGGAGAATCGCGATCACACTCACCTCCTTGCTCCGGATCGCTGCGCAGGCACATCGCTCTTTGCCGTCCACGCGCAGGAGCGTGCGTCAGTGTTGTTTTTCTCTCTCTCTCAGTTTGGGCATGCACACAGGCAGCCATCTGTAGAACTAAAATTTTCACGCGTGCGCAGAACAGCGATTTCCACTTCAACTCGACTGCTGTAACACTTCCCTTTAAACTTGAAAGGAACATTTCCCTTTAAACGTTTACCCCGAAAATGGCCTCTGTGAGATCCCGAACTCGTCTAAATGCTAAAACTAGGCACCGTTTAAACATTGTTTTCAATAACGCGGTGGCAGACCTCCGCCTATGCGCACACCACCAACGCTTAAAAAAATGGCGGGTGATGGCTCAACACCGGAGGAGCGATCAGACGTCAGTAAAGTGCAGCTGCTATTGGCTTTCTAAATGAAATAAATAAATTATAAACCGCAAGAAAAGTGCAGCTGGAACCAGAGAATCAGGAAAACACCACTTGGGGACCTGGTATCAAAATACTACGGGTTAAAGCAGTTTTGAGCCAGAAAGCAACAGCTGGGGACGGGAGGCAGCTGTTGACCATGTGATCGCGCAGATAAAATCCGTTTCTGAGGCGGGCCGAAAGTGGACTAAACAGCCCGTCTGACCGCATCCATAGAGTGTTTGCAAACATTCAGCCTGTTCAAGTGAAAGCTT